TGTTCCTCAAGGACCAGGGTTGGGAGCCACTGACTTGCACTAAATTCAAAGGGTATTTGCAACAGCAGCAGCAGTTAGCTGTAGCACTTCTGGGGCAACCTGAGGAACTTCCAGCAGGACTGTCACAACTTTAATGCAGAATTAGGAGCTGAATTTGTTAGCCTGTCAACCCATCAGAACTGCTCTATTCTTCTCCAAATTATTTTTCCCCAAGAGCTATCTATAGCAGGTAAGATGTTAATTGTTCATAACCTGTGATGTCCTAAAACTTCAGTGGTACTACAACACGTCTGCTCTGCTTGAGTGTCCCAACTGGCTGTTCATTTGAACTTGTGGATTTAACCTATACCTGTAGACGCTTGGCCTTTCTCTTTAAAAATAAAGCTTTTTACCTCAGATAGCTGTTTTTATTAATAAACATGTTTAACTATCAACAAAGTTTCAAGTCTCCGTTGTATGTCATGGTCCACAGAGTTGGGTTGTGATGCAAACTGGAGAATCATACAATAACCTGGATGAACGCCACATAACCACTTCACAGAACTTGACCTTTAAAAATCTGAACAAACACTTAAATTCACTTTATTAAATTTTCCTTTTTGTAATGGTAGAGTTTGTCTTGGACCTGTCTGCAAGAAAAAGTTGCCACTCCTCCTTAAATTTATAGCACAGTGTTGTTTTTGTTCCTTCAGAGACCTAACTCTTCTAAGTGGAGCACAGGAGTTTAAGTGGGACAACAGCTCCAAACAATCTGACTTCAACCTGTCCAACGCTATTCATCCTCACAGTGCATTAAATAATGTTTCCATGTTGTTGACTGACGACCAAACAACAAGAATATCAAACAGGATGCCACTACATCAGACACAAACTGTAATAAACTTCCTTTTCATTCCTTTGAGGTGGTTCCACATTCACTAAATGGATGTGCAGGTTAAACAGGTCAGATGTAGAAAACATGCACTCACAAAAAATACAATCTTACTCCAGAAACAGGAATGCAAGCTCAGTTTGTTACATCTGACAGGACAGCTGTGGCTGAGTGGTTAGAGCAGTCGAACTCCAATAGGAGAATTGGGGGTTTGATTCCACTACTATGCAGTCACATGTTGAAGTGTCCCTGGGCAAGACACTGAGCCCCTCATTGCCTCAGATGTGTGTCCCATCGATGTATGAATGTGATCTAAAAATAACTAATTAGTCTCTATGGACTGATCTGTTTGATTATTTTTGTAGAGATGTAGTAGAGTGCTGAAGGAATATGTGTTTGGAAGTAAATGAGGACAGATTGTGTTGTAAAGAGCTTTAGAGTATTTTGATTAGATAGAAAGACATTATTTAAGTACAGTCCATTTACCATCCATCCATCCATCATCTTGACCCGCTTTTTCCTTTTCAGGTCATGGGGGTCACTGGTGCCCATATTCAGCAGTCACTGTGTGAGAGGCAGGGGACACCCTGGACAGGTCTCCAGTCCATCACAGGGACACAGAGACAAACGAGACAAACAACTATTCACTCTCTCACTCACACCTAGGGACAATTTAGAGTTACCAATCAGTCTAACATACATGTTTTTGGTCTGTGGGAGGAAACCGGAGTACCCGGAGAAAACCCACGCATGCACGGAGAGAACATGCAAACTCCACCCAGAAAGGCCCCCGGCCGAGATTTGGTTCATGTTTGGTTTATTTGTCGTATGCAAAAATCAACACAAGGTCAACAATGTAATGAAATGCTGAGGACGAGAAAACAACGTCTCGACTCGCCAAAAACGAAACAAGAAATACCAAAGCGTGCAGCAAAAATGCAATAAACACGGCGCCAAAAGTGAAAAAGTAATACATCTACAGTGAGGTTCTTTTAGCAGCATGGTTCTCTTCTGTTAGCAGCATAGTCTCATTAGCAGGTCCCGTTAGCAGCTTGATGGCAATAATGACCGCAGCAGCTGCCCGCACATACTGTCCTCCAGAACTGGGTCCAGCAGACAAAGCACATCCAAGGTTTTCCCATGGAGCCAAACAGGTCTGTAGAGTTCAGTCTGTGCAGGCAGGTGGATGATCAGAGCCTGAGCTTGAAGCTTGGGGGGGGGCAGAAACTGAACCACGATGGCAGGATGGCAAGATGGCATGATGGCATGACGGCACGATAGCACAATGGCACGATGGCATGATGGCATGATGACAGGATAGCATGATGGCACGATGGCACGATGGCACAATGGCAGGACGGCATGACAGCATGACGGCAGGACGGCACGATGGCATGATGGCAGGATGGCATGATGGCATGATGGCAGGATGGCAGGATGGCATGATGGCATGATGGCAGGATGGCACGATGGCATGACGGCATGACTGCATGATGGCAGGATGGCATGATGGCACGATGGCAGGATGGCATGATGGGATGATGGCAAGGCAACGACACAGAAAACTCCAAAAATGTGTTGCGGTCATACCCGTAGCGTGTGTGTGCAGTGTTGGCGCAAAAAAAAAAAAAAGGTTAAAACATAAGTATAAAAAAGTTAAATCTGGTCTTCTGGACATTCAAAAAAACAAAACAAAGCAAAACAACAAAAAAATGTAGAAACGTTTCGTCTCTCATCCGAGAGACTTCCTCAGTCTGAGGAGCTGTATTCAGCTCAGTCTCTTAAATAGCACCTTCTCAGAGTGGATCAACCAGTTTTGCTGCTGACAACCAAAACCAGCTGATCACATGCTCAAGAAGGACCATCAGCCTAACAATGGATCATTAGCACACTGATGGCTGTTGACTATTCACAGAGGGCTGAGTGATACTAGCAATCACAGCATTGTAAGAGGGGGACAGTTGAACACGGAGGCCTCCACCCCTGTTTAACGATGGACGATTTCTTTTCACAAAGATGGCCTCCTTTACTCCTCTCTCAAACCATTGTTCCTTTCTGTCCAGGATGTGAACATCTTCATCCCTGAAAGAGTGACCGCTGGCCTGGAGATGAGTGTAGACCGCAGAGTCCTGGCCTGATGATGTTGATCTTCTGTGCTGGGCCATCCTTTTGGCCAGTGGCTGTTTAGTTTCCCCGATGTAAGACTGATCACAGCCCTCCTGACACTGAACAGCATACACAACATTACTCTGTTTGTGCCGGGGGACTGGATCTTTGGGATGAACCAGTCTTTGCCGTAATGTATTTTGGGGTTTAAAAGCCACTGGGACGTTATGTTTAGAAAATAAACGTCTCAGTTTCTCTGATACTCCCTCAACATATGGAATGACCACTGGTCTGGGTCTGGGTTCCTCCTTTTCACCTGATGGCTGACTGGAGTCCTGTTTGGGTTTCTTCTCTGCTTTCAGGAAGGCCCAGTTAGGATATCCACATCTAGAGCCTGTCTTGTGTGGGATTTCTCCTTTTGCCTGGCTCCTGAGCTAGTGGGGACACTGTCTGCTCTGTGATACAGAGTCCTGATGACTCCTAACTTGTGCTCCAAAGGGTGATGGGAGTCAAACTGCAAATACTGGGCTGTGTGGGTGGGTTTGCGGTACACCTCAGTTTGCAAATGTCCTCTATCGGAGACTGAGACCTCACAGTCCAAGAAAGCCAACTTGACATTTTTTACATCTTCTCGTGTGAACTTGATGTATTTATCTATAGAGTTGATGTGGTCAGTAAAATGTTGGACTTCCTGAGATTTAATTTTAACCCAGGTGTTGTCAACATACCTGAACCAATGACTTGGTGGTGTCCCTGAAAAGGACATCAAGGCTCTCTTTTCTACCTCCTCCATGTACAGGTTGGCAACAATAGGAGAAACTGGAGACCCCATAGCACACCCATGTTTCTGCCTATAATATTGCCCCCCATATGTGAAGTAGGTTGACTGCAGGCACAGTTTCAAGAGTTGACACAGTTGTTCTGTGGAAAGCGTGGTCCTGCTGCTCAGAGTGGTGTCTGATTTTAATCTTAAACTGACCACCTCTACTGCATCATCAACAGGAATGCACGTAAAGAGTGATGTGACGTCAAAAGAGACCATTGTTTCATCAGTCTCCATGATGACATCCCTCACCTTATCCATGTCATCATGAAAAGAAATCGTCCATCGTTAAACAGGGGTGGAGGCCTACGTGTTCAATTGTCCCCCTCTTACAATGCTGTGATTGCTAGTATCACTCAGCCCTCTGTGAACAGTAAACAGCCATCAGTGTGCTAATGATCCATTGTTAGGCTGATGGTCCTTCTTGAGCACAGCTGGTTTTGGTTGTCAGCAGCAAAACTGGTTGATCCACTCTGAGAAGGTGCTATTTAAGAGACTGAGCTGAATACAGCTCCTCAGATTGAGGAAGTCTCTCGGATGAGAGACGAAACGTTTCTACATTTTTTTGTTGTTTTGCTTTGTTTTGTTTTTTTGAATGTCCAGAGGACCAGATTTAACTTTTTTAGATTTTTCTACCTGGATTATTGAGCATGCATCAGGATGTTAAAACATAAACAAAAAAAGATCAAGTCGAAGCGGTGCTCCGGTTAGTGCGGCCATACTGCGACGCTCGTGACGTCACACAATTCGATATGGTGACCTTCTCGCTGACAGGCAACAGCTCTACCAACTGAGCCACCGTGTTGCCCAGTTTGTTACAAAGAAAAACAAAATACTGCAAGCAGCCAGAAGAGAAGACTTGTGAAGGCAGTAACATAAATGTACCAAACACAAACATAAGCATATACACAAAGCACGATGGGACCGAGATGGTGTAGAGGCAGGGCAGCCGACTCGAGATCCGAAAGCCCCAGGTTCGATCCCCAGTCATTGCACATCTCGTGGTGTCTCTGAGCAGGACACTTTAAACCAAATTGGTCCCTGGGAGCTTTCAATAGCTGCCCACTGCTCCACCTGAGTGTCTACTAGGTACGATGGGTTAAATGCAGAGAACTAATTTTGCCATTGTATGGAAACATATGATGACAACACACACACATTATTATAAAACACAAACAGATATTTAGAGATGCCTATGGGTCATAAAAGCTATGGAAGCCTTACCGCTAAGATCAGACACAAAGTCGTCCTGTGCATAACGGTATTTCTCTGGACCGCATGCAATGAACACATCATCTTCCCCAAAAAAATCTTGCAGGCAGGAAATCTGGTAAAAGAAAAACAAACAAAAAAAAGGACATTTGAAATATTCAATCCTAAATCAGCTGTTGCAACAGTCAGAGTTTGTGAACAGAGTAATTTGATAGGCTTTGATGGTTAAAAAAAAACAAAAAACTTTTCAATAAACATGTAAATCTAATCCCAAAAGCAACTTGATTTTCTTAATCAAAAGCTAAATATAGCAGCTTTTCGTAAGACGAAGATTATCTCCAAAAAGCAAATTAAGGAGATCAAAAATATATATATTTTTTTTACATCATTTAATATCATAATACTTTACAAAACTTGGCTTGAAGCAAATGCTGTGGTAATGTTTATTGAGCATTACAGCTAAAGTTCAAGAGATAAACTAGGAGAAAACAACATGTCAAGGTCAAGCAATGTGACATCCGGGATAATGCAGAGTCAACGCATTTTAAAGAGAAAGCATTGAAGTTAAAACCTCTGCCACAAAGTATTTCATCTCATCGTTTCATTTAAATGACAAGGCTTACACTGTGATTGTCATCTACTCTGTAGCTACATATATACACATATACACATATATACACATATACACATATACACATATATATATACATATACACACATATGCACATATATATACATATACACACATATACACATATATATACATATACACACATATACACATATATATACATATACACATATATACACATATACACATATATATACATATACACATATATACACATATACACATATATACACATATATACACATATACACATATGTAGATGAACAGATGCTCTGATATATTCATCATTTAACACGGATTCCTCATTTTTCTGGACTGAATAAAACGTGCACTGAATTTAAGGAAATGCAAAGTGAGACGTCATTTAAATTTGACCCATCAAAATGAATGCGGTCATTTATTTACAGAATCAAATTTAACATCAAACATTTACATTAATTTGGCAAATTATGAAAATAACAATATAAGCAATCAATCAGGAAAAATCATACGGCCATGATTTTTCCGTTGCTGACATTTATAAAACTGTACAACTATGATCTTTTGCCCACATGAATGTGGGTGAGCATTTTACACAGACATTTCTAAATATCTGGAAGAATTTCTACTTGATAGAAAAGTTTAAAGATGGGAAGAAGTTTAGAGGGAGTTAAGATTGAATGGGAGGGGAGGAATGTTCGCCAGAACCGACACTCTCCATCAGAAGCCCAGCTCGCCTCGGTACGCTTGGTAGGAAACTTGACCCATTACCTTTCTGATGATAATCAGCAGATATGGTGTTCCGTTAACGCTACCGGTCCAGCGTCTCCTTAGAATGGCTGTTGCCCGTCAGAAGTAGTGGCGAGGCTCTGTTCGACACACATTCACCTCAGTGGAAAATGTTATAATCCCATGGAACTCGGAAGAGCTTTGTTGTCATGTCAGGAACTCCAACAGCACTCCATCAGAACTCCAGAACTCTAGAAGTCTGACAACTCTCCAACTCCGTGAACTCTGTAACTCCGTGAGTCGTAAGTCACTCTGGGTACCTGTGAGTCTGTGTAGACCAGGAAGTACTGACATTTTAAAGACTCTTTCCCGGTTCACTTTTTGGGATTTTTCATTGGTCAGAAACGACCAGAAGGGGTGTGTTTTTGTGACGTAAGAGGTTAGAGACAGTGAGAATTGTTATGGGACAGCTCAGAAATGTTCTCACAGACCGAGAGGGTTCTGTTTTGGCGTGCCTAAGAAACAGGTGCAAAACATCTCTATTTACGTCTGAGAGGATTCTAAAACATGACAGTTTTAACATAACAACTTGTTTTTCGTTTGACTGTAACCTTGTAAACGCACACACTTGCTCATTCAAAAGACAGAAAATCAAGAAATGCTTATTCAGGTGATTTCTTCTCTGAATGAGGAATAAAAATCATTACTTACTGTTTATGTAAAATAAAAATGAGTAGTTCTTTTCAACCTGTAAAGCATTGAGTGAACTAACACAATTTGATTATCAAAACATTTGTAAGACAGTAATGATTATAAAGAATTGTCTTTTCTGCTTGATTAATTCAAGAAAGAAAGTCATCAGATGGCCCAGACTTATTCAGATCAATGAAAATAACAGTCTCTGTCCATCTGGTAGATTTGAGGTCATCTGGTTCACTACAGTCCCCCCTTTGGAAATCATCACCTGTCCATGGGGATGAATTCCAACCGTGAACTTAGACCTTCAAATGTCCTTGAGCTTGATGTAATCCAGCGAGGAAGACCAAAGTCAGAAGTAATCCAGCAAGGAAACAAAGTCAAGGTAATTCCACAATGTTCTTGGTATTCCATTGTGTTGATTATAATCCCATATCGTCTCGATAATCCCATTGTAGCAATGCTTTAACCCCTTGGAAACAGAGTCTGTAATCCATTGGAAAAAGTCATATAATCCACAACGGTAAATCCACAGCGATTGGAAGTGTTGATTCATCAGCATACAGAGGGGTACCCTTGGATTGAACTGAAGAAGCGGCCACTGGATGAAGAGTGGAGACCAACGTCAGGATTGCAGGTTGCCTCCAGCGAAGGTTGTCTCCAGCGACGTCCAGCCTGTGCCGTTCTGGTTCAATGTGTCATGCAATTATGTGGTTTAAGGTGGGCTTATGAAGGGGATTTTACATAAGGCCTTAAACTATATGCATCTGGTGTGTAAGCTATTATGGTTGGGAACAGCTACGACTACCAGTTAAGGGGTGGAGCATGCTGAAAAGGGGTAACTACAGGGGTTTAAGCCTATAGAAAAGGGTTCCAAACTACTTTTCCATTTCTAACTTGGGTTAAGTTAGCTTTACATGGCAAAATATAGTTTGGTTCAAATGTCTGTTGTCTTTTAGACGAACGACTTGAGATTGGGTGTTTGGTTTCCCCATAAATGTTTTGGAAGTCTATGGCGAGACTTATCAAAAAGAATTAGCTATCCCCCCGAATAGAATTGTTCGAGTAGGTTCGGCTTAAGCGTTGTGAGATCAATGTAGATTATGGTACTTAAAGTAGCAATAATATACATTGACTCCGCAAAGATTGCAATTTAATGAATGAACTGCATGTTGGCATGGTCAAAGGCTTCTTAGTCTCTAACTTACTACACACAAGATTCATTCTTACCTCAGAAACAACCAAAATCAACTAAACAACGTTTCAACACCGACAAGAGTAGTGACTAAGCATCTAGAAACATCGTTTCACTGCTCCTCCTCACCCTGGTTGTCAGTTTCAGTCACGTTGTCCCGTGTGAGTGGCTTCTTTGCGGACCCGCTTACGCGAGGCATAATCATATCGAGGTGCGCTGCATGGCGATCCACGTCGACTCGGAGTGACGTTTGGCCCCGGGACAGGGATGCGAGTATCCCACACAATACGAGGGTTATCGTCATTAGCAGGGCTATGATTAATGTGTCCGCGCTCGACCACGCATAGTTAATTGGTTGGATCGGGTTCTTAGTTGTGGACCTGAGGGACTTGAGAACTTGGTTTATTGGTTCCACGTCGACGACTTGGGTGCCTTCAAAACGGATCCTTCCCAGAGTCTCTGGATCTATGTCTATAGACATATTTCCTAGGTACTCTGAGTCATCCAGAGTCGCGTCCCATCGTTCCGGATCGAGGTGATAGAGCGTCAAGTCACCAATGTGTATGGTTGTTCCCTGGGGAACACTGATCCACATCGTTTTGTCCGGTAACGCCAAAGGTCTATTTGCCCCGGGTTGATCGTAGGCTATGATCGCCTGTCTTTGAGGAGCATTCACTAGCCAACGAGAGCCAATTATTTCCGCTTTTGCATCTTTAGCCAGGTGTCGAGGCGTTACGGTCGTTGAGCACTTAGAATTTTCCGGAATAGGTGTTAATCCGCATATGCCCGCGGTTTTATTCCACATAAACGGTTTGCTCGGGCACAGATAGTGTATCTCCCGAGTGAGAACACACATCTGCAGGTTTGGAGCTAGGTAAACTGAGGGGTTGTCGTCGTGGTACGCAACCATCCTTGGTGTGTCAATTTGAACATGGTTTTCGCCGTGCCAATTGCCAACATTTACGACGTCCCTGAGTCTATATATGCCGTTTGAGGGAATTATCGGTAGGTTGATAATGAACGCCATTTCAAATGTTTTGTGATTGACGTAGATTGGGATTGCGCTACCGAGAGTGTAAGCCAGGTGTGCCTGTGTTTGCGTAACTTTTTCGTGCGTAGCGGAGCTGAGGATGTCGTTCACCATCTGTAGAGAGACTAGATACGGTGGGATCCTACCGGTGGCTAGTGTATCTACCGACGAACTGATATCTCTAAGCATGTCAGCAAAAATCCTATCCATTAGGTGTGCAACAGCGTAATCCGCTTCAACCTTAAGGGCTAACTCATTTACCGCTATTACGAGGGCTTTGATTTCTTGGGTGTGAGTATTCAGCACTAGAACAGTATCCTTTACGGTTTTAGTCACCTGTGTCAATTGTGTTAGTTGAAGGTTCATTTGCGCTCGGATCTTTGGGACCTCGCTCTCTACTTCATACACATGTTGTTTTAGGGACGTTATACTGACAGTGTTGTATGCGGACAACCCTAGGCTGAACAGTGATCCTAGTGACGATGCAGCAAGCAAAAGTCCGCCGATGCCGCGCTTTTGCCTTGTACTTATTCCGCCCAACTCTTGTTGAGTGTAAGTAAATTTATGCAGTTGTTTTAGGATGTGTTGGATCTCTGCTTTAGCACCCTCTAGGGATACTGTGTACCATGGCCTGTTTAACCACTCATTTTTAATGTTAATGTGTTGTTGGACCACGGTTTGGGGGTCGAAGCGGACGAAGACCTTTCGAGTGTATAGGCGGCAATCTGTGATGAGCAGTCCCTGCTGGTCCCGCAGAGCGATGCCCGAGGTGGGTCCAAGGGTTACGATCTCGGCTTGCCCCTCTTGGGTGGCACCCAAGAGGGTGAAGATTACCAGTAGTGGTATCATCATTGT